AGCATAGGTATGATAGAGAAGGTTTCTTATAGATATGTGGGAGAGCATAGGTATGATGGAGAAGGTTTCTTATATGGGAGAGCATAAGTATGATGGAGAAGGATTCTTATGGATATGTGGGAGAGCATAGGTATGATGGAGAAGGTTTCTTATAGACATATGGGAGAGCATAGGTATGATGCAGAAGGTATCTAATAGATATATGTGAGAGCATAAGTATGATGGAGAAGGATTCTTATAGATATATGGGAGAGCATAGGTATGATGGAGGTTTCTTATAGGTATATGGGAGAGCATAGGCAGAGGAAGGGACATCTGGAGGAGTCCAGACTGGACATGACCACAGAGCTGTCCCATGGGGATAGTCAGGAAGGTAATGGAGGGGGGAGAGAGGGGAAACAGATGCAGCATCCAGGATACACAAAGAGAGTAGATGAAAGGCCTAGACACCAATATGGTTTCATTTTACAAGGAACAGTAGCTGGGGAAGGGCAGCCAGGCCCCTGGGTGAGGGTGGGGCATGCCAGCCATGATGGCCCTGTAACAGGTAGGGACAGACCTTGGGTGCAGGGAGAACCTGGTGGCCAGGTCCACTCTGATATGTTAAATAGGCACTTTAGCCATGTGTCCCAGGTTTGAAACCTGAAAAATACAACTCTTAACATATATCATGTATACACATTTTGTAAGTTACAGCACATATACTCACAGTTTCTGGACTGGATACTGTATGTGTAATACATATGTGTGTAAGGAATGAAAATTGCTTTGTACTAATCCATGTTCCATTGAGCTCCATTTGAAATGTGCCCCTTCTGCCTAGTGAGGCTTCTGGCTTTATTTTCTCCCCACAAAGACCACAAAAGCCTGGGACACAGTGATTGGCATAGGCTGTACACTGGGCACAGTGATTGGCATAGGCTGTACTTGGGGCACAGTTACAGGCACAAGCTGTATATGGTGCACAGTAACAGGCACAAGCTGTACTTGAGGCACAGTAACAGGCAGAGGCTGTACTTGGGACACAGTAACAGGCAGAGGCTGTACCTGGCGCACAGTAACAGACATAGGCTGTACCTGGCACACACTAACAGGCTGTACACCAGGCACTGTTACTGACATACACTGTTCTCAGGGCACCAGATGTGACATATGCTGTACACAGATCACAAAGCTGCACAGCCTCGGTATCCCCTACGCTCTCAGGAACTGGCTTCTGAGGTGGACGCTCATTCTCCTGGCTATTGGGACTGGCACTCTCACAGTCATCCATGAGGCCTGAAGGCACAGCAGCAGAAGGACCTTCTCCAGTCTTCCCTGTTTTTTTTTTCTACTCCTCTCCATTCTGCTGTTGAGGTCCTGACGCAGGGTGGTCCCTTCCACCTTCTTCCTCATTTCTTCCCTCTTCATATGGGGAGAGCATCGGTGTCTCAGCACCTGAAAGTAGAAAACAGAAAGAAGAGGCGACAGGGACCAGGGTGGTGCAAAGTCGCTATGACATCCAGGATGTGAAGTCCACAGTGCCCCACGCCTCTCCAGTCACCTCTGAGGAACATCTCCTCATGGACATGGCCAACCCACCACTCCTAACATGCACTGACCTTTCCTTTTTTCCTGGTCAGGTCCCTCAAGAGGCAGATGTTTGATGTTTCCATGCTCCATGTCAGGAATGCTGTCAAAGTCGCTTGAGGTTTGCCTTCCTTTGTGTCTCTTCACATTCTGAGGGGGAGATCCATATACTTCTGGCAGGAGAACTACTCCACCAGGTAGGCTTCTTTCTCTTCTATACCTTAATGACCTAACATCCAGGTTATTTTAACCAATCAGAAGCCTTCCTTTCTGGCTTCCTGGGATGATTGACAGTTGCTGTGGACTGACCCCTGAGGTCCAAAACTAACCACAGTTTGGAGCTTCAGTGAGCAGAGTCCCTGAAGTGGGGGTTCTGACTTTAGTAAGTCCAAATACCCAAGGGAAGTCATAGAAACCGAGCCCCATGATTTCAGGAGGAAGTTGTGTATGGATTTGGCATATCTGAGTGAAGGGGTATTTACAAAATGTCCTCAATGAACAGCAGAAAGTCTTTTCTCTTAAAGTGTCAATGAAAGTTCTTTCCCTTAGACACAGATCCCAGCCAGTCATGTGTAGTCAGTCAATAGATACACAGATCCCTTTTCACACATTTACCTGGTCTCCCCACAGTCTCCTTCCAGGTTTTATGAAGGTGCCCTCTCACAGACACACGGTCCCTTGCACAGCAATGTAAGCTACAGAAAAGTGGAGCCTCTTCTAATTGATAGGAAGTCCAGTTAGAACCTGAGCCAGACATGTGGTCACCTAGAGCATGCCTCAACAGGATCTGGCCCTGTAGCTGGATACACATTTTGTGTAGCAGTTTCCTCCAAGATAAGACATTCCATTTGGAGGAAAGCTCCTGAAGACATAGGACATTCCAAATGGTGGTGAAACATTTCATAATACGGGAGAGATGGTTAAGACACAGGAAGTAAAAGGCTTGATAGCTCCAACTGGGCTTAGAAGATGTTTGTTCCCAGTTTCTCCTGCCTCCCCAGGAAGAGTGTCAACAGCACATCTCAGTTCCACATAACCGGGGAGCACAGAATGAGAATCCACAGTCAGCTGAGGCACAGGATGCCACCCACAGGTTCCATTCATGGAGCATCAGCCCCAGTGAGAAGACTGAAGCCACTGGATGTGGCAGCCAGGAACTGGAGCATGTCACCAGATAACACTCTGTACCTGGAAGATTGGTGGCAAGGGCCTGAATAGAACTCAGGAAAGTCATGTCTTGCTGGAACATCCAATGTGGAGCCTCAGGACCCTTCCTCCTGATGCCTCCAGGTCCCCAGTGAACCCATCATCTCTCTCTCTCTCTCTCTCTCTCTCTCTCTCTCTCTCTCTCTCTCTCTCTCTCTCTCTCTCTTTCCTCCCTCCCTCTCTGACTCTGTCTCTGTCTCTCTCTTTCCTCCCTCCCTCTCTGTCTCTCTTTCTGTCTCTGTCTCTGTCTCTGTCTCTCTCTCTCTCTTTCTCTCTCTCTCTCTCTCTCTCTCTCTCTCTCTCTCTCTGCTTCTCCAAGTATGATCCCCACCATGAGCCCTCAGGGATTATCCTAAGATAAAGATGATTGCAAAATACCATCCAGAAGTCAGTTAGGAGCAGAGGCCCTGGTGATAGTGGCAGCTGCAGCAGTGTTTGTGTGGAGGACTGGGGGGGTCAGAAAGGAGTAGGGGGCCTCACTGGTATAGGAACTCTTCTTCCTACAGAGAAACAGTGGAAGCTGGAAGCAGCCAGGAACTCAGGCTCCCTGGAGACAATCTGAGGCCCCTGGAAACCACTGCTTTCACTCCACCCTTACAAGAACGAGAACAGTTTTCAGACTATTCCAAAACCCCACGGGACTGTAGGATGAGCACTGAGCTCAATGGAGCCTACACAGCCTGGGGGCAGGGGCTGTGCTCAGACTTCATTCCTCCTTCTAGAGTCCCTTCCTGTTTTTCCTGACCAAAGACAAACAGGGGATCCAAGCCTGCTGGGCCTGTCAGCTTGCACATCACCATGTCCATCACATCTCCTGGACAGCTCAGGGCAGATTTTCTTTGCAGTAGGTTATGGTTGGTACAGAGACCCACAGTTGGTCATTGTGCAGTGGCACACAAGAGAAGGTGGAGCACTCAGGTCTAAATGGGACATCTCTGTCATATCCATTGCTCACAGGCACAGGGACCATGATGATGACTGGTGGAAGATTCTTAAAGTCAGGGGAACTAGTTATCTGTACTGAAATATTATTTGCTAGACGTGAAAAGGGGAGACCTCAGGTTCAGGGCCATAGACGCAGCCCTAGTGAAATTCTACTATAGCAAGGGCTTGGAAATCAGCATGCTGGGAGACATCCTATAGACTCAAAAGCAAACTAGCATGTACCTGCAGCAGGCAAGGTCCCTGGAGCACTCACATTCCCAGAGACTGAAAACAGACTATGGATTCCAAGGGCAGGAGAGCTTGGTGTTGGGACAATACCATGCAGTAAGTTTGGGGCTGTACGCCTAGGCCAAAGCTCTCCATCTCACTAAGATGGACTTTGTTTATTTGGACCTACAACTTCACATAGGCAAAGAAGCAGGACAACTTTTCTATGCACTGTGTGATTGTTCAAGAACATTGCTAGAGGCTCAACCTTGTTTACAAATTAGAACTGCTATGAAGCAAAGGTCCCTGAAATCTTGAGTACTGAGGGTTCTCCAAGGCAGGTGACAAAATGCAGAGAGAAGACATATTAGTCAAGATCTCTGAGCAGGCTAGGGTGAGACCATATGCTCCCTGAGCTGGAATGGAAGAAATTAAACAGAAACCTCCCTCTGGCCTGGATGGAAGGATTCTCCTCTCCCTCTCAAGCATCAGGACTCTGTTCAGTGTGGCTCCTAGTATCTTGGACGTCCAGACAGGGTGCAAGAAACACATAATGTACCCCTTCCTCCTACTGTCAAAGTTTTCAGCTGAGTCCAGTTTGAGACTTAGTGGAGTGTGGGTGGGAACAGCCATGACTAGAAACACAGTGTCCTCTGCTGGAGACTTGCCCCACCTGCCCTTACGAATAATTGTTCCACAGAGGTTGGGTGAGTTTACAAGGCCATGATGAGGGTACAGAGAATCATGTGGGGTCAGCATGAAGCAGCATAGCACCTGGAAATCTTCCTCACTCGGCATGGCACAGTGACCACAGCTTGCCAGTGTCACCTCCTGCCATAAATGCCATTTCTGGAATAGGCTACTGTTGTTCAAATACTTATACCCACATTTTAGTAACCTGAAAAACAATGGAACCAACATACTTAGAATCCACCTCTTTATTGCTAAGATAATTGCAGGGAAGAAAAGGATGTCATGGCCAGCATGGGTGGCCGAGACATTGGGGGCAGGGCCAGGTTCCATGACATCTGGCTCTTGGACAGAGGTGGCACATATGATTTGCTCCAAAATCTTCAGGGGTCGTTGTTCTGGCGACCAGGTGGTGCATCGATCAGCCCCTCCATTCTATTGCTTCTCCTGAAAAGGGCTCTCCTGGTCCTAAACCAATCCTACAAGCAGAAGAAAGGGTTGCTTTAGTACACTAAACTGTACCACCACTGAAGAACACATCCTATAACCTTGTACACTGGCTCAGTTTTACTAACATTTTAGAACGTATATGGAACCCATCCCTGGGCCAGTGTGTGCTAGGTATGTGCTCCAGGCCTGAACTACTCCCCTAACAAAGCACCACATTTCTGATTGCCCAGAAACTGTTTATTTATTGATCTAACCCCAAGAATGGTTGAAGATGTACCTCAAGTGTGTAGTGATTATTCAGAATGCTGGAAGTAACAGGTTTCATTCTCATTGAAACAGTCAAAACACCCCCATGAATCCCCTGAGGACATTTACCCCCACACCCAGTCCTTCAGCTATGGGACAGACCCAGAATATTGCCTCTTCTGTCCATTGATATTTTTAATGCATTCTTTCAGAAAAGGATATAGATTTAGCTAGTGGGTTGTTCCCGGTTCTTGCTGTGTGTCGAAAAATATCAAAAAATTCTCTTGGAACTCCAGGGAACTATCACAAGGCCCAAAGCAGTCTGTGAAAGGCTCCATGGTGATAGCCTTTTGTGAGTATCCAGAATACACATTTTATGAGACAAAGGGCACTTCTTCCTGTTCTATGCTTCCTCCCTAGCCTCTAAGCACACTGTGTATAGGCCTTTTTCTCTTGTGGGCATGTGGTCTGGAAAAGTCAGGGCTGATTGTAATGGTGAGCAGAGTTCACATACATAACCAACAAAAGCCTGGTAAAAGGGTTATCGGTCGTTTGAGGTTCCTGGTCCCAGTATTGATTCAGAACTAAGCCAGGCATGGGACATTTACAGACTAGATCAAGAAGTCTGAGAAAAGGTTTTCTGAGACACACAGAGTGAAAGAGTTGAAAGTCGGAAAGAACATGGTCTCTTCACTTAAGTGAGGCATGCGGGCTGCACAGCCTTCAGAAGGTCATGGAGAACACACTATGTCCACCAAGGGACAGACAAAGCACCTTGGCATCTTACATTTTCAGGTGTCTGGGTTGGTATTTCCTGCCTGAGAAAATGGAGGTCTTTTGTCATCTTGAGTCTAGCCTGGGTGTGGATTCATCTGGAACTCTTGGGATACAACTTCAGGGTCCTAATCTGCTGCTACCCTTCTCTTCTAGACAACAGCATCACAAGTTGTGGAACCCTTCCAAAATATTAATTTTTTTAGAATACTGACCAGCACATCTGCTTCCGGCACACCCATCCATCTTGCAAGATCCTTCCTGGAGTGAAAAGATTCCAACATTTAGGCCTTGTAGTGGAAATAAACTGTATAAAGACATGTCCTGTTTGCTTTTAAATGTTTGTGTCCACACTTGTGTGTACACACGTGTACATACACACACACACACACACACACACACACACACACACACACTATTTTCACACCTACTTTGAGACATACTTTAGTAACAGGTTTCTTTCAGGGACCAAATTTAAGGGTAACCCCCCCAAACACAGGTACCCTGTTGATGTACTTAAAATGTAAAACTTGATTAAGAGAGCCTCCACGATGAAAAGTGTTAGACAAATTTTAATTTGAGGTGGAATCCTTCCTGCATTTTCTCAGCCACACCTCAGGCTTCTTTCTCATACTTACAGAGACTCATTTAGAACAAGCATTTTCTAAATTTCTCACTCACGTGCCACTTAAACAGGCAACAAAACACATTCTTTCCAGTTGGACTAGGGCACATCCCCCTACTCCAGAATCCAATTTCTGCTGGAGGGTCCAGACATGGTGGCTTTGTTTCTAGAGGAAATAAGGGGTTCAGGGAGCACCAAAGGATAGCCTGGATGCGCTGCCTGAAAACCAGGCACATAGCAGGGCATTCTGCTTACCTTGCTCGCAAGCTGGGATAGCGATTCTCTTGGAAAAGACGCTCCAGGTCCTTCAGCTGAGACTGGGTGAATCTGGTGCGTCTCCGGAATGGCTGCCTGTCCCGAGTCTGGAGACTCTTGGTGCCCTCAGGCATTGCTGCCTCTTGCTGAGGCTGCTGTTGAACACTTCCGTCATGGCCACCATCGGCCTGGATCCCCTTGTCCATGGGGCCAGAACTACCATCTCCAGCTTGTCCTCCTTCCATTTCTTCTTCTTCGTTTTCTCCCTCCTCTACCACTCCTGTGGCTTCCTGAGTAAGACCGGACTGAGCAAGCTCTTCTTGAGCAGGCTTGCTTTGGGCAAGTTCGCCCAGAGCAAGTTCGCCCTGACCAAGCTCACCCTGAGCAAGCTCGCTCTGTACAAGCCCTTTCTTTCCTCCTTCCTCTTCAGCCTTCAGGACCATTGCAATCTCACCTGCAAGAGAGAAAAACACAAAGATAAAGATCTGAGCATCATGGCCCATGGATCATTCGAAAGCCTGGAGAGGGCCCACAGGCAGAGCCGGGTAGTCGAAATGCCTGACCACTGGCCTTTCCACCAAATTTGCTTCCAGAACTTCGCCCAAGTCCAATCAGAACCATTTTACTGACCATGCTGTTGTTCCTGGTGCTCATCAGCTCCTGGACTCAGCATCTTGTTGAAACTGTGGCAGCAGCCCTGACGAGTCTCCATGCCGGGAACCTTTCGAACAGACGCGAGTTCCGAAGACTTAAAAGCCGTGTCCTCACTGCCTGGCGCCAGAGGTACAGCTCTGACCCTTAACCCGGAAGGCCTGTCTTCTGGAGACTCAACGTAATTACAATGTGTCCAATCACACATTCTGGCCTGCACAGCCTCAGTGGCTGTAGGCTTGTCCTCTGAGGTGCCTAGCCTGAGGCACTTTAGGGCTGCAAAGAGCAGGGAGTACTTTAAAAAGCTCAGTGAGTATGTGTGTGTGTGTGGTGGGCTTGCAGAACCTGTGGCTCTGGTTTGCTCCTTAGCTGACACCTCTAGTTTTGGGTAATGCTGGACTGTTCAAACTCAGTCACAGGGAGTAACACAAAGACCTTCTGAAACTCAGCAGGCCCTTGAGCACAGCTAAATCACTTTATTAAATTATGGAAATGTCCTTCAAACAAAATGCCCCAATCTTGCTTGTGCTGTCTTGAAGAGCCCTGTATGATGGCAAATATGTGGGTAGGCCAGGGCAAGATCCTCCTGAGAGACTGTGCTCCCAACAGGGCTGAATTCCACCAGTGTTCACAAGCTCATTTTGATGGAGACCTTTCTCTACCTAGCTGTGCTTGACCAAGGTCCTAGGGTGACCCAGATACCTGAGGGCATCAAAGATCAACACTGGGTACTGGCTCCAAACCTGTCTCACAGCTGTGAAGGTTAAAGACAGGAGGAGTAAGCAATTCTGGATGCAAGCTCTACAAAGAATCATTGCAGGACGGGGCAGAACTGAGGAAAAGTTAGAGAGACTCCCCAGAGTAGGTGACATTCCCAAAATTTAAAAGAGCCACTGAGCTCTGTCATTTCGTGGTTTTGGTTTTTTAATAGGATCATGGTAGAGTCTGGACAATGGCTGAGGTAATTGTTAGGAGATGGTTTATTTCTCTGGGATAGCATAGGCTGAGACACTTGAGGGGCCACAGTCCACATGGTCTAGCCCACACCAAGGAGATGATCATGCTCTGTTCACCCATTGCCCACCTAGTCAGGGGTGGCTCAACCCCCTCCCACCACAGGCCCCTTTATCCATCCCTGACTAGGCTTTGTGAGTTGTGGGCCTTGTCTGTCTGGCCACCATTAGCCACTGCATGGTCTTGTGTCCTCTGACATTTCAGCTGTCCCAGGTGCTTTTAATTATCCTCAGCTCTCTGTCTTCTCACAGTCACCAAGAAGCAGCTGCAACTGTCCTTCCTCTTCTCCTTGTCTCCTGGGTCATTGTGAAAGGCTTCCCTGAAACACTGAAATGGGAGGCTTTCTTAGACACAGACTTTACTCACTCTCACAATTAGCTGGTGGAGAAGCTAGGCTATTTTAGGAGACAATAGTGCCATGGGTGCTTTCCTGAAGGACTTGGTGGCCTGGTTGGACTGCCCACACTAGACAGAAGCCCTGTCTTTACCAGTGTGAGACAGCTTGACTGTCCTACTGATCGCAGAAACTCTTTGTGTCTCATCTTCAGTGTTCCTGGCTTGACTGTTTCACATCAACCCTCCTTTTAGCCCTAGCATCCCTGCAACATATGCGAGCAACTTAGAAATTTGAACGTGAGAGCTTTTTCCTCACTAAGGACAGGGACCTCCCTCCTGCATCCATATCAACCCCAGATTCTGAGATAAATTTCCCAAGACACTGTTCCCAGGGTTGGTGTGAAGCAGGTAAGCAATCATGTATTCAGGGTGCCCCAGAGACTGGTCATTTCTTCCCCTTTCTACTGAGCTCACAGGACACTGGGTGTATTCTTTTATGTCTGGCAGTTTGCTCCCAGGGCTTAGCAAAGAGTGATGCAGAGGGATATCACTCTCTGGTGGTTGATTCAGCACCCTAAAAGATGGATGCTTGCTGTGTAACCCAGAGGAGCTGTGGAGTGCGCTATGGGAGTAACTAACACAGATAAACACCAAGGCCTGCTCTTCTCCAATCTATTATCTATACGAATCTGGAAACCATTACCCATCCCTGACTTTACCCTTGATGGTCTTGACTCTGCTGTCCCCATCTTGGACCTGGGGAAGGGACTCTACTCTGTTGACTCCTTAGGATGCCTGTTGCTCGCCTGTTGCTATCTAGTAGCCCAATCCTATATATCCCTGCGATGACAGGAAACCTGTACCCATAAGCAGCTTTTGCTGTAGAACAGCAGTATTTCGTGAGCCCAATTACTGTTCTGTGTGATTTTCTTATAAGTGATCTTCTGTGAGGGTCTCACCAGGATTGAAATGCATTATTGAAATCTTGTGGCTCCTTCTTGTTTAGTTACATGCTCAATGTTTAGGTCAGTGATTCTCAACCTTCCTAATTCTCTGGCCCTTTAATATAGTTGCCCATGCTGTGGTGACCCCAACCATTTTTGTTGTTACTTCCTAATTGTAATTTTGCTACTGTTATGAGTCATAATTTAATATCTTTGTTTTCCAATGGTCTTAGTAAAGGTCTGTAGACCCCAAAGTTAAAAGGGGCAGCAACACCCACGGTGAGAACCACTGCTTCAGGTTAAGGCATGTGATTGTGGAGTTTCTACACCATTTTCCCATGGGACTCTGCTCATTATAGTTAGTAGATGGGAAACCTACCTGCACACAGATTTTCCTGAGGGATTTCTTGGTCAGCATGCACAAGTCCACACAGGTACATTCACAGTCACAACATTCCCATGCAGAAACATCTGTAGCCAAGCCATCCCATCCCATTGGCCCAACCCCTAGAGAGAGGCTAATCTGCAGATTGTAAGAGTAGTTCTAGAAATATGGAAATCATAAAAGGAAAGTGGCTGAAAACGTTTCATAAAGGTAGTTACAGCTGTAAAGGGAAACACAAATAAATCGTAAGTGTGTTTTACTGATGAGTACAAGTTTAAAAAATAAACTGGATCACTGCTAAACTAAAACCCAACACAATATTAAGTATACCTTAAGGATGTTAAGACAATCAAATTAGCAATTTTAGAAGCAATTCATCAGCTCTAAGAAGAAACATAATTGTGGGATCAGGATCTATATCGGGTGCCTGCGTAGGATTTTTGGAACTCATTACCTATGATGGGACAACTTGCACAGCTTAGGTACAGAGGGGAGGGGCTTGGTCCTGCCTCAACTGAATGTACCAGGCTCTGCTGAATCCCCATGGGAGCCTTACCTTTTTCTAGGTGGGGATAGGGAGGTAGGTTGCTGGGGGGAATGCTGGGGGAATTGTGAGGAGAGACGAGAAGGGAATCTGTGGTTGGTATGTAAAATGAATAAAAAATTTCTTAAAGAAAAAAGAAGAAACATAATTGACAGGGAATGAATTCTTTGATGAGCTTTTACCTGCATATGACATCATTTCACATACAGAAAGAATAATAAATGGGGAATCTTTCCTAGATTTCAGACATCTTCCACAAACCCATGGTCAGCATAGTAGGGACACCTGACATTCCATGAACCAGCTGTTCCCAGGTTGGCTCTCCCATGAGGCCTTTGTGGCTCATAGGACAGGATACACTGACCCCAGAACTGCCCACTTAGTCACAGCTCACTATGTCCTTTCTCTGCTCAGCACTCCATGGCCTGAGCTTTCAAGCCATCAAGTGATAATCATGTCTTTGGCAGGAAAGTCAGAGGCTGCCACCTGCCTCATCTGAACTGCAGCTGCTTGCTCTCTCTCTCTCTCTCTCTCTCTCTCTCTCTCTCTCTCTCTCTCTCTCTCTCTCTCTCTCTCCTTCTCTCTCTCTTCTTCTCTCTCTCTCTCTCTCTCTCTCTCTCTCTCTCTCTCTCTCTCTCTCCTCTCTCCTACCTCCTCTCTCCTCTCTCCCTCTCTCTTTTTTGTGTGTATACTGGTGTCTTGTGTAGAAATAATGAAGAGTGAGCCCCTCTCTGAACCAGGAAAGGCTTGGACAAGTCAGGTATCACCCCTTCAGTCTTTCAACCAGCCACATCACTTTGGAGGGTTCTTGCTTAACCCCTCTGGTATGCTGTATCCCAGCAACAGGCCCTGAAGTATCTTGATGTATCCAGGCCATAGGTCCTATCTCTGGTCACAGGACTCACCCTACAGGGACTCAGTAAGGACTCTTCCTGCTGTTTGTAAGAGACACATGGTCGAGAGAGACAAGGGTTGATATAGAGGGAGGCCAGGATTGGGAGTTGGGTGGGCAGACATCTAGAAGGATAGTATCCTGAGGAAGGAGAGGGTGGGGTGGTTGAAGTGAGCTCCAGGGAAGTGTAGCTCTGATAGAGATGGTAGAGGTATGGCCAGGAGATGGTCTGGAGACACGCTGGGGCAATTTTCCAGTGGAAAGGAGTTAAGGTTGGGGAGAAAGTTGTACCAATTATAAGTCTCGCCAGGCAGTGGTGGCACATGCCATCAATCCTAGCACTTGGGAGGCACAGCCAGGCAGATCATTGAGAGTTCAAGGCTGCCTGTTCTACAGAGTAAGATCCAGGACAGCCACCAAAAGTACACAATAACCAAACAAATATTTTTTGAGCCCCAAGAAAGAGGTTGGAGCTGGGGGTACCCAGCAGTGCACAGGAAAGAGGCCACTGAGAAGTCAGAAGACTGTGCAGCAGATGAGAGCATGCTGTGAGCATGACGCACTGTGCATCAGTACAGAAGTGAGGCAGGCTGCAGGACTGGGGTGGGGATTTCTCATGTAAATCAGCCTGGCCAACCAGGGTCCAGTGTACAGAAGGAAACCTGGGCCCTTGTAAAATCTCCAGGACCCTAAATGTGCCTTTGTGGGGCTCAAAGACCAGTAAAAATGGTTCTACTGTGTAGATAGTTGACCACATAAACTTCCATGGTGCTCTCTGAGAGGGACCTGTTCTTCCTGGATGCAAGCTTAGGCTGGCATAACAAGCACTCAGATAGACCCCTGGTGGGGTGGTAAGAACGTCAACTTCTTCAGTGACACCCATGGAGAATGAAGAATCCTTACTAGTAGAAATTGGTTATAATGACTTAGTGTTTGTTGATGTGGC